GACACTGTGCCAAATGTGGAGTCTCATTCCAGTCACTAACAAAAAGGTAAAACAGAAGTTTAGTTTGTTTTTCTTTTACAAGTATATCTCAGCATAATCTTAATAATGGAGCCTTGACATATTTGGAATGGCAACATTTTGTTTTCAGAAGCATTCAGTATATTTAAAAGAGATATTCTTAACTGTCAGCTTAATTCTGAGAAGGCAACTGTGAAGATAAGACACAATTCATCTTGATTCAAGCAACCTCCAGATATGTCTGTAAATTCACTTGGCATTGCCTGCAGATGTGTTCAATTTCTAGGACAAACCATCAGAATAAAAATCTTCTTTTCTAATTGTCAAGAGGTAATTCAGCACTTCATAGAGCACCCAGGAAGAGAAAGGCATTTCAAACACTTCCTTTTTAATAATAGCAATTTTCTAACCCCCTGCTTTAGCTTTACCTCAAGATAACGAGGACATCACAAACTAAACATGTCAAAGCCACCCAAGTTTACATCATATCTTACTACTCCTTTAAAGTACATACCACTAGAGCTACCATGAATAAAATATTGTGAAATCATAGATTCAAAAATACTGAAGAATCTACTGAACGTATTATTCATCTAACCATTGGTAATAGTTAACATTATTGATCAAAAGCCACAGGCTAAAGGATTTGGTTCTTATATACACTGCTGAATATGACCAAGCAGGAAATTATTTGCTAAACAGTGTCACAGGAAACTGTAACACTGAAAATGTGACATATGAAACTGAAAAGCATGCTTATTTCCAAAACCACTACTAAAAGTGTGGTGTAAACAGCCAATTCTGCCAAATCTGTGTCAAGTCTTTTATATTATAAATGATAAAAAAGCCAAGGTCCAGATGCCACTCCATGTCACCTTTACTGAACCCCACATGATTACTGTGCTAAAAACCAGGAGTACAGCTATCATGTTGAGGTGCAGCAGATAAGATGCACTTCTATGAACTGCATTTCTCAGTTTGTTTTGTGTACAGCATGAACAGGTAAGAACACCAGTACTGTACCATCAGTCCATCTTCCGGACCCAGAAGTCTTCGTCCCTGCAGCTTCCCTGGGTCTCTGGTGCACAGGTTAAGCTGGTCCTTGCAGTAAACCACCTTTCAGGACTACAGTTCAGTATGTGGCTTGAACAGTGCTAGTTCACCTGTCCACCATATGATCCTAATTCAGAAGGCATTTAGGGGACCATGGAAAAACACATGGCAGCATACCTCTGGTGTCCTTTATATCTACTCTTGCTCCAAGTATTATTCCCTATCAACTATGGTCAATGACTCCACTTTCTTCTTGTGGCTGAACACCAAAATTTCTTCTTCTGCCTTGTTTTAATGGTAAATCTTTCCATATATCCACACAAAGCAGCACAATCAGTCAAATGGAGCTCACTACTAGAGGTAACTACCACCTCCAGGTCCTTCCCACTCTGAGGATTCATATCCTTAAATGAGGGTCACCTCAAAAGCATGGAGCCATCTGAACAGCTCATAGGCTCACTGGCAAAGCAAGACCATATCCTTGGTTTGTTCAGCAGATGCCCTGAAGAAAGACTCTTGCAGTATCTGGATACCATCTTGATTAAAAAGGTGTCCAGCTGAAACATTCCCATAACTTCAACACTAAACACAAGGCATGGATTTTCCAGTTGTAATTTCCAGGTGACTACCAAGACCAGTGTTGCTGGCAGTGCTCCTTATTGACTGAGATGTGGCCAATTATCTCTTCCATTGTTATCTTGTATTAGGTAGTTCTTCATGTGAGCAATTCAGTGTGTCTCTCCACTTAAGTTATTAGTAATTCACTCCATTGAAGTGAGTGAAAGCAATGTCAAATGGAAAGTGGGTATAAGACCAAAAACCAGGCCAAACCAATATGTAATTAAGTGCTGTTCTTTCGTAGGCTAATGCTAGTAAAAATTAAGGTTAATACTGAAGAAAATAAGATCAGAGGAAAATAATATACAACCTTAAGGTACTGGTCATTCATTTCTGGGTACCTTTATCAAAGAATCAATTAACATTTAATCCTGTTAAAAGGTGCTCAGTGTACCCTTGTTAAGTAAAGAGTATTTGTATTTCAGACCAAGATTACCTGTTGGCCTACTGCATGGCCTTTGGCAAGATGTCTTAGACTTTCCTGACTACTTACACTGCAAATTTTTCAAGGGAGTGAATTTTACTCTGTACATGTAGTTGTAGGTAGGGACCTGACTGGATGCCACTCTAACACAAACAATGGTAGAGAGGGCTCAGCACATAAGATCACTCGTGAAAGGCCTACGATCTGTGTTAGCATTAATGAGACTTTCAATATTGACTTCAATGGCAATAGTTAGGACCCAAACATCAATTACCAGAAATAAAACAAAACTGAGTTTACCAGCTTATTAATATGTAGTCACTTTCAAAACCAAATTTCATGGTATTTGCCAGCATAACTTTGTCAAGTGTAGTTCAATTATTTAGTTGCTTATTTTCCCAAAACCTCTCTTTGCATGCATGATTTTTAAAACAAATATAGAAAGAGTTCCTGAAAAATCATTAGATAGAAGAACTCAAGTCATGATATGCTCTTTCTTCTTCCACTTTTATTTACCCAAAACTACTAGAAATTATTTGCAGCTATGTTGGTCATGCCAACATTATTATATAACAGGATTTGCACGTAGCTTCTTACAGGTCTACAGATACAGATTTAAAATTAACTGGCTAGGTTTTAAGCATTGTTCCACTTTACTTCGATCTGGAAGAGAGCTAGAATAAAAACAATTCAGCAAACATTCTGTAGAAAATTGTTTTCATTTTTAATGAAAATTCTCAACTTCTTCAGATGCTTTTCAAAACCATTCAGCTGTAGACATGGAAAAAAAAAGTTTGCTAGACTCGACTCAGTTCAGTTTATTAAGCAAAACCTTGTGAATATATTATTCAGTAATATTTCAACAAGGTTTTTAGAAAAGATGCTTCTTTTCTTTCATTTCCCAATAAAGCTTACAACCCACAGAGAACTGAATTGTAACATGATTTAATTGTTTGCTGACATTTTTATAGTACGTCAAATATTTAGCAGTTTACTTGTAAACTTCTTTGACACAAGCAAGGTAATCGACAACATTCCCTCATACTGTCTGAATACCTTTGTTAAAATACAGTACATATTCAAACTTCAATCCAACTTATGATCCATTCTCATGAAACAAAAATCAGAGTATAAGACAAATCTGGACTGTCTACTCCTCTTGAAAGCACAATACAGTTTATTCTATATAGTTTTTTAACAAGTGTTAAAACCTGTGTGGCTCTTATCCACAATTCTAAAGCAGTACTGTATAGAGTTGCTAGAAGTGCCATTACCAGTCAAATTGAAACATTGCCACTTGAATTTCTAACTAAAGTTGGCTGTCACTCACAATAAATGATAATGAAGACCTACAGTGAAGCCCACTCTTTGGAGAGGTTAATTGGGATTTTGCCATTGATCTTAACAGGACCAACATCTACTCAAGATTTATAAAGTTAGAATACTTCACTACATGCCAGTAGGTAGAGGAACACAGAATTTCAGTTAATTTAGAATTATTTCATGTCAACTAGCATAAGACAGCTATAGCAAGCATCGGAGCAGCAGCTTAGCAGAAGTTGCCTACTGGTAAAGGTTTTCATATGTCTGAAGAAATTAAAGGAAGTATTATCTCTCCTGAATTTAATTTACCTGCTTGACAATTATACCTAAGATTTTGAATGGTGAATTAAATTCCCTCTTCAGCTCAAAATCACCTGCAGTTTGAGCTGCTGGTAGCAAAGAAATGTTATCCTTGTCAGCCTTGATGCACTCAGCCCTAGAGCAGCATAGGGACCCTTCCACTGACCAAAACACAAAGGTTCTCCCCCAGATATCATCCTTTAATAACTGGAGGGGAAAAGGAGTAGAAGCAAGACCTTGATTTCATTCAGTGCCTATAAAAAAGCAAAGGTATTTTAATGTGATGTCTTGATTAATTCATTCTAAGCTCCCTTTATCCAGACTACTTAACTCTAAAGTGTACAGTCCTGGAAAGAATATCACACGCTGTATTATCCTTAAGAAGTTCGAGTGTATGTAAAAGTCAGTGTATGTAAAAAGCTGGCAGGAAGGCAACTGTTAGATATTGACAATATTGACTTCAAGAGATCTTGGGATACACATCTTTCTATTTACTCTTTTTATGAATGATTTTTTCATTCATCATTTTGGTCACAATTGACATTCTGTAACTAAAATAAACCAGAAGTTTTTCTTTTCTCTTTCAAATTGTCAACTACATTAACCTTGTCAAGAAACCCACAAGAACAAAATCAATATAGCAATTTAAAGACAAAATTGGCAGGCATTATACTGTACTTGGACACATCCAGTAAATAGCCTCATACATCAAACTACTGTCATCAATGGCAATATTCTGAAACCTACTAATGTTGTTTATTACATTTGCGGTGTGAAGTGCCAAAGTAAGTACAGATATCGGTCCAGTAGATGAAAAATAACACGGAAATAATATCTCACATGCTTGAGAAGCACGGACTAGTGACTCAGGTGTCATTTAAACGCCCTGTACTTCCAGCACGGAGAGTGGCTGCTCTCTATAAGCGATACGGTACCAGCAGCGACCTGCTCGCCCATGCAGAAGCCGCAGCGGGAACTCCGGGACCCACCGCGCCCCATCCCCGCGCCCCGACGGCCAGCTCCGGGCAGCGCCGTCCGTCCTGTGCCCCTTCCCGGGGTGGCACCGCACACGCCGACACGTCGGAGCTCCTACAACCCATTCCCTCTTTCGCCCCTATTTCTGGCTGCCCTACCAGCCGGGGTGTGACTCCTCCGGCATCCCCCTCTCCGCCGCTCGCTGGACCCTCGCGGCTCTCCCGCTCCGCGGCCGCTCTCCCGAGGTGGCGGGTGGGGAAGGGCAGGCAGCGAAGTTCGCGGGACTTACGGTGGCAGCGCTCCCAGCGCTGGCGCGGCACCTCTCCCGGCCTCCCGTCACCTCGGGCCACCTCCGCGGCGGCTCAGCGCCCGCTCCGGCACAGCCCGGACGCCCCTTCACTCCTCGGAGGAGCTCATGGGGCCGCCCGCTCCCCGACACCCGCCCGGTGGGTCCCCGCGTCCCGGAGGCTGCGGACAGACACCAGCCAGGGTCGAGCGCTTCTGGCGGGGCTGCGCCTCGGGCAGCATCTGCCTCCTTTCGCCCGCGCCGCGCCCACCCCCCGCTCCACCCCGGGCGCCGGCGAGGCTTCGCGCAGACGTCGGTGCGGGGCGGCCGGAGCCCGCCCGGCGGCGGCGGCAGCGCCTCCTCCACCCCCGCCTCCCCGCCGCTCCCGTTCGCTCCTGCCGCCGGGGCAGCCGTGCCGGAGCCGCCGCTGCGGGGGCGGGAGGAGCGGGGCCGCCGGCGCTCCCGACGCACCGCCTGAGAAAGGAGGGGTCCCGCGGCGCGGGGGCGAGGGACGCCCGGCCCGGGGGCCTGGGTTGCGCCCCCCTCGTCCCCGCGGAGAAGGCGGAGGCGGCAGCGCGGCGACTGCCCTTTGTCAAGGCGATGCCTTCCGAGCGGGGCCAGTGGTCCCCGCACCGCCGCCGGCTGGGCTGTGTCCGCAGCGAGAGTGTCAGGGGCCTGGCCGGACACCCCACCTCCTCCTGCTCTCGGAGAAGGTCCTCAGGCCCGAGCCAGCGTTCTGGTCCCATCGCGGGCACCTTTCCGAAGAGGAAAGCCGGGGGAATGCAGGGTTTGGAGCGTGGGACCCTGCGCTCCTGCACCTGGGCGAGAGGGGCGCTACCCCGGCAGCGGATCGCGGGCTGCCGGCGCCCCTGCCCACCCCGGGGATGCTACCCCGCGTCCTCCCATCTGCCCCGTCTCCTCTGATGCTCCTCCAGCTTGCGTGAACCATCTACCTACCGACCACCGAGCTGGGGAGGATGAACAAGGGTCGGCCGCAGTATTCACCGGACAGCAGAGTCATCTAAATTCCCATTTCTGCTCCAGAAGGTGTGTCAGCGTTTTAAACCAAATGAGAGGACGAGGAAGACCTGGTTCCGTCCACCTCTGCTCTCCTCAGAAGGGCAGACCCCAATAACATGGGCATCCAGAGGCAGCTGAGCCAACAGCCCCCACCTCGCGGAAGAGCGTCGAGTGGTTGTGCGTGAGGTAGCGCAGGGAAGGACTTCTCTGCTGTGACTGCTCCAAGCTGCCCAATGTTTAAATATCCAGAGAGCCACAGTGAGGCTGAGACGGAGCGAATGCACAGTGATTCACCTCAGCACTCCTAACAGACATATCAGTGTGTACAGCAGATACTGGGGTGTCTTCCCAGCAGATGGAGTCAGGAGGCAAACAAACTTGCTCAAAAGGTACCACCAGCCGGCTGAGAACAGCTTTATTCTTTCGTCTTTCTGTGCGAAGGGTGTTACTGCCATTAAATAAAAGGAACTTTGACACTGGCTTTGAAGTCGCCCGGCTTACTTCTGAATGGAAAGTTAGCTCCTACGGAAGCAGTTCTCAAGTGTTTTTCTTCCACCTACTGCTTTCTCTTACAGATTACAGTCAAATTTTGCAGCTTGCCTTTCTCCCAGAAACCTGCATGCAAGCTGAGCTGGCTGCCTTTTTCCAGCACAGGCCATGCTGAGGAGGGCAGGAGGGAAAGGAGCAAGGGAAATTAGTGCTGAGGAGGTGGTGCTGGGCTTGGCATGCACCGAGTTCTAAGAAAAAGGAACTCCTTGCCACTTTTTCCAGCACCTGTTAAAAAAGTGCCACTAGATAATACTGTCAAAGAAACTTGTCCTCCTTGATACAAGAGGGGATAGGAAACCATAATAAAAGTTGAGACACTTAAAGAATACTGATGTAAATCATCATCCCTTTAGGATTTAAACTTTTACTGTAGGTTTCATCCTTTATCCTTGTGGATACAGAAGGTGAAACAGTGGAAGCTGCTTTTATGAGCTTTAATAAAGCCACAACTTTTTCACTGTTCACAGCATTCTCTGGCAGGAGCAGTGAAGTTAAGGGAGGTTCTCATTAGCTGTGCTAGGTCTGGAACCATGGAGCAGCACCCCTATGGACTCACTGCAGTCCTGTCTCTCTCGTGCTACAGCTGTGCCTAGGTGGGCTTGGATGAGTCATGGTTCTAAGTGCTTGAGATGTTTGTGGAAGAGGAACTGCTGAGAAGCAAAACCTTAAGCTGAAGCCTAGGGAAAGCAGGAGAATACCCCTTCCTCTCATTGCAGCAGTAAGTTGAAAGAGCTAAAATAGAGAGCTTTTTCATGCCTGATAGCCTGGCATATTTTCTTTTCCAGAGGTTTGAGAGGGTGTGAATGAGTGGGTCACCAAATAGGTACAGATTGCTTTAAAAGATAGAAAAAGCAACTGAATTAGGTGCATGCAGGTGATGGACTATTTACCAGTAGCTTCTTCCATAGTCCACCCATTTAGGTTTTATTTTCTTTGTGTGTGTGTTGTCTGGCTAGTACTGTTCATTCTATGATTGGAAAGCATCACAGTTTCAATGAATGGTTTTATACTTATTTCAAAACGGGCTGTATGTTACTCTGTTTTCTTAGTGAGTAGCATTCATTTGCTGAAGTATAAATCTGTCATCCCATAATCTGGAAGTAGGTTTCTTAAGGTTTGGGTGTTTTTTTAGTAAACTTCCATTTTGTTAACCATTACCTTGCACACAGAAGCAGCACTCTCCCATTTGTTCTGCTATAAGCAATTCTGTTGTGCCCCATGGGACTGCAAGCATGAGTAGTTACTATTTAGCATGTGTGTGAAATACTGATCAGGCCCATAAATAACCACTGGAAAATTATTATTAACTGCACCTTGGCGGTTTTATTTCTGCTTGTGCTCAGGAGTCATTACAACACTGACTTCTGCACAAAAGAGGTGACTGAGCCAATGTTTTATGTTGTGATATTATAGTGTTGCTTTGTACGTGAAAAGTGAAGTAAGACCAAGCCTGGTTCCAAGATTTCAGTGATTTCATTCTGTTATGAGGGAAAACGTTTTTCCATATAGTATGGAAAGTTGTGTATTTCTGTTGTTTATCTTGTTTGGACCATCTTTTTTTTCTTGTAAATATAGTTTCTCCACCTTTAACAGTACTGCAAGTAAGGATGTCACTTGTGAAAAAGACATTGTCTTAATTTTCTTGGTCAGGTGCAGAATTTGAAAGAAAAATCCAAGTTCCCAGCTGAACCTATAAGCTTTCCATTAATTGGGTAGAGATATTTTCTTTTGCAGATATGTGCATTGCAAGCTGTTTGGAGGTCAACTATTTCCTATGATCATTTGTCTATCTCTCCTGTGTGGAATGCTGTACCCCATAGGAACTACCCAGAGCACAGTATCTTCAAATAAGAGTTTGTTCAGATTTAGTTTGTTTGAAAAGTGGGAAGTGTGAGCACTGAGCTGTCTACAGAAGACCATGGAGGCATGCTGTATACTTTGATAAACAGATCATAAATAATGCATTTGAGTGAGAGCTACATTCACAATTTGGATAAAAAAGTGGAAGGAGTAAAAGACATAATTTAAACAGAAATGGTAATAAATTTGGCCTAATTCAGTTCAGGGTGAAAAGAATGGGAATTTGCCATTAGCTTCAACACCTTTAAGGCTTCCATGGGAATATTTAATTTTTTTGCATACAACTTTGTAATAATGACTTTGCATCCCTAGAAGTGACTTGATTGAAAACTCTGAGAATAGCTACAGCATTATCAGCAGCAATGCTGTTTTCAAGCAACCCTGCCTGCTTGAAAACACATCAGCTCTGTGAGGAGGAAATCTCATGGAGTGGCTATAGCTGCTGTTCAGGCCATGCTATCCTAACCAGATGATTTTCTTTAATTTTCAGAAAAAAGATGTCACTCTGGAATTAGGGATTTGAAGAGTGACAGGTAAACAGATTTATGAAGCTACTACCAGTTGAAGAAGTCCATTGCAAACATGAAAGGCAACATCAGGAGAAGTATAGAAGTGACTGGAAGGCATATGAACAATTTAGACCAGGATTATTAGAGGAACAGGACAGTGTTCTAGTTCTTTCCCAGAGATATCAAGTCATCCAAGGACTGTTTTTTTAAGACAGCCCTTTCCACAATGAAAGGATTGTGTTTAATTTTATGTTAGTTTTGTTTGTAGAAATCTGAAAATCAAGACTTACTTGTTTATCCAGCATCAGATACCTCATTAGAATGATGTACAAATTGTCTTAATGTCACAATATTTAAATAAGATGTATTTAAATAAGTTGATCAACGTACAATAATCTCAGTTAGTTTCTTAATGTACAAAAAAAACCATGGGTAATTACATTTGCCTTCTTGCTTAAATGTCTAGTTTAAATTTATGTTATTTAATCTATCCAAATGTTCATTCCACAGTTCACATCTCAGGACATTCTAAGAGACTCTCTGAAACATTTTGAAGTGAGAAGGGAAAAAAAAGACACATGTCTCTAAAAGAGAATTTGTTGCTGTTTTTTGTTGCATTTTTGTTGTTTTGTTTGTTTTTTTTTTTTTCAGAAAAACAGTCATTAGGAGTCAGTAATTAGTAATTAGGAGACAAAAAGGCAAAGAAATAGGAAATGAAAAATACAAGAAAATTAGTCGTATTCATGTTTTCAAAGAATAAGCAAAAATGAAGAGACATTCCAGTTGTAAGTATTTATAATATATTCAATTTTCTATAGAAGAGACTATTTTAATTTAGCAATACATGTTTTCATTAGTACAACACTCAGTAATTATGCATATTGGTAGCAAAAACACAGTGGGCTTTGCTTGCTCTATATAGAGGAAGGAAAGGGAAAGCAAACAAGATAATGAAAATCTGGGCAATGGGAACATTTCCAAAGAGTGGGCACCTGATTCCCTCAGAATGAGCAATTATTTTCCATCTTCACTTGGAACTCAATACCCTGGGCCTCATTAAGCCAGTGTGTAGCTGTACATGGTTCTAGAGAGACTCTCAGCCAAGCATCAAAAAGAAGAGCTTTTCAGGAGAACTGAATGCACCAACAGTTGCAAGAAATGTCCTCTCTGGTGTAAGTACAGTATATAAACCATAAAATATTCTAGATTACACGAGTTTTCTCTGGAAACTATTTCAAGAGCCTTATGAAATGTCTACAAACTATCAGCAGCCATATTTAATAAATCATACATACTTGTTAGGTCCCATCAATGTAATTTTTACATTAATTAATTCAAAGATGAGTATATTAATAATATTTAATAATATGAGAATTTTCACATTATTTGGAGTCATAGGCAATATAAGAATC